ATGCATTCCCTTTCAGGACCTAGGAAAAAATTTCATTTCAGAGTAGATATCCAAGTCATCTTTTCTCAACCTAAAGGACGCACAGCTAAAAGTATTTATTTACCGGGGTATTTTTATTTTAGTGATTCGAGTGAGTGGGTTGGGGGATGAGAATGTGAATGAGTAATCAAAACGCTCCAATATTTCGCCCATCGCGACCAATGCTTTCTAGAGGCTAGTCTGGTAGAGCTGGGGTTTATAGACATGGTACTAGGGAGGTACAAAGTAAGACTTTTATTTGAATGTAGTCTTCATTCAAAAGTCCATTATCGATAGCAAAAGGAATGGGCTTAGCTGAAATAAAATAATGTGACCAATCTAGACAGAAAAAAGATTTGAATGCAACTCTGTCTAGACTCACTTCAATACACATCTCTTATCTGAGCACTTAATGGTCTCCTGATTAGCTACTATTCTTTATTCTTAGAATGGTGTCAATGAAAATTCCGTCGCTGACTTTACTCGGGTGAATCAACGGAATTCCATCATGACATTAAAATCCCGAGGTTTATTTTAGTCCAGCTTCAAGGCGTCTATTATTAATTGACTATAACGGTATACAGTGTTGAGTGCTGATTTGGGACATTAAAACTCGATATAGAGTGCAATGTTTAGCGCAAACAGTCGATAAATTTACTAGAAAAACTTTATTTGTCATCAGGAAACTAAATTTAAATAGTTAGATTCAGAAATAGTTGTTCTTTTCCCCCGGGATTACTTTTTTTTTTTAACGAACCGCCAATTAGCTGCTGGCATCCAATAACAATATGTCCTGTTAAGAAGTGTCCTTGCACTAAGAAATTGAATACTGAAGATGTGAACGCGTGCTGTGGAGTTGAGTCGAGTGGACATATCCATATGGAAAATAGCTTCAACAAACCAGTGCTAATAGAGCAGCGCTACACAAGATCACTCCAGCTACACCAATAACTATGTAAGATGAACGTGGAAAATGTCTCTAAGCCACACGTTGGCTTAATATCCGTTGTCATTAAAAGAGTTTCGTGAATGCACAGCAAAAAGAGATACAAAATTCCTTGTTCCATTTATAGAAAAGGAATTTGCTAGAAAAAAAGAGGTTTTAATGACCCTCAATGTATTCAAGTAGCTCTCATTGTCTATCTTAGAAGTGAAATGAGGCCATTTCCACATGCAGAATTAAAGAAACAATCCTATTTATTAAATATCAATCAAAACAATGTGTGCGACAGTAAAAGAACATACACTGATTTGTTTCTGACTGAGGGGATAAATGTAATAAAAAAAAAACAACAACTAAAGTGCAACAAATGAACTAAGCTTTATGTTTAGACCGAGCCCTAACTCTAGCACTCTGACCTACAGCATGTGTGAAAGTACGATAGCGAGAGACATAATGAGAACAGAGTGATGTTTTCCTTGGGTTCATTGAGGAACATGACTTCTGGAAATGGCAGCTGCAGTCCGGCGTTAAATTATCTTCCCAGGGCTTATTGGTGAGCGGGGAGCTAAAATGACCATCTCTGACTAGTCGATATTATCTCGATGGGAGCACGGTAAAATCTAAAAAATAAAAAAAATGAGCACCTGGCTGCCATGCAAAAAGCCCCTCCCCACTTCTACTCCCTCTTAGGGAGCTGATGGTATTGAGTGTTTGGGAGGTGGGGGGGGGGGGGGGGGCTTTACAATGTACCAACGAACGTAGGTGTTGGGTGGAGAAGGGTGGGCTGATTGAGCGTGACGTCACTTAGGCAGCTAGTTACTGATGCAGTGTCAATTAACTCACCCCTTGGACTCTGTGGGAATGCCAACTATTTTGACTGGGACCGGAGGGGGGGGGGGCGCTCCCCAGCGGAGATTGCAAGTTTCTGGTGAAAAGTAAGAACGGTGAGTTTAGGAAGCGAAGTTGGGGCAGATGGCTAGCCTCTTGGGACAAACAGCGCACACGATGGACGCCGATGGGCTAGCAATAATCATGAGCACAATTCAACGTTGCGTGGACGCGCTGGTTCATTTGGTTAATGTTGAAATTTAGCAGTGGGATGCTAATACTTCCATATCTGCATCATAAAATAATAATGATGATGATGATACAAGTTCAGTTTAATACAATTCTGACAGACATTGAGTATGATAATTACTGAATACAGAAACTTAATACTATGTCCAGACAAGACTGATTACAAGTTCAAATCTATGACATGATAATAGGGATGGCCCTATTTAAACAAAACAAGCAGTGCTCTTTCAAAAGCCGTATTAGTCATTCCAATCAAGGCCGGGTATTTTCCTCTATAACAAGGGATTATGGCCCTGTCTGTAAAATGGATTTTCTTTTTCATAAACTTTGCAATATTTAAAATATTTTTAGACAGCCGGGAAGAGTTTTTACAGTCGAATACATAATCAATGCATCGTTAGAAAAATTTAAATCCTGTTAATTCTACTGACATGTAGTTTGTATACTGGTATGAATGTTTAGTACTTTTATTTGGACGTTTATTCAATGCTTAGGCACGTGATGATTAATTAGTCAAAAGTCTCGTATACAAGTGGGGCTCTGGGGTTCATTTAGAAGAATCTAGATATACTTAGATATATGGAACGAAATACTATATGTACTGACACCCATAAAATCAATACTTTTTCTATTGTCATGAAGTCAAACTGACCTATGAAGCTCACTCCACTTAAATGGTGTATATAAATCAAGGAATGACAACTTTTGATCATAGTAGACCACACTCACTAAAATGAATCCATTATATTCACAGGACATCTCAAAGAGGTGAACTTGTCTCTGGATCTACAATGTTTAATATATCTCAAGTGCTTCATTTTTAAAACAAGTAATATAAAATATTTTAATCAATTCCTAGTTTATGTTCAAATAATATGGTAATAATTCGATGTGCAAATTTGTACTTGAAAATATGATTTGATTTTACCATTCAACCCTTTGACAGTTAAGAATATGTGAGCTAATATCAGGAATGAAATAAATGAACACAAATGCAGTTATATGAAAATTGTAAAAAAAAAAATATCTTCTTTTAAAAGTTAAACAGGCGCACCACTAGATCTCGTTATGTTTTTGAGCCTAACACTGTCCACATTTGTGAATCTTTTGCAGTGCCGTGTCACTGAGAATTGTCCCCCCCCCCCGGCTTTACAACATGTACATCACAATATTTAGTGTGCTGGTAATGTCAACACACAGCTCAACAGAGGGTTGCAATGAGTCGACAAACCATTAGATAGACGAAAATGTTACATTTCTAAGAGGACGACCATACACACGAGAACAATGTTTTAGTACCAGTAAATTCACACTTAAAAAGTGAACAGACATTAAATCCGAATGAGCCTTATTCAGGTATCAAGTACATTTCGTTGGAATCAAAGATGAAAATATACATTGTTTACTTAATAATTCTATCATTTTATGTTTTTTGCAGTAGTATGTTTAAAGAGATTGTTCACGTTTCATTAAGAAACTACACATCTAATTTCTTTTGAAAGAATCTAAGCTTACTAAAGTACACAAGACCTAGTGATATCGAGGTCTTAACAAGTTTACATTGTACGCTCTCACTAACTGTTAGTTCTCAAGACAAAAGCATTCTACTTCAAGTGTAGGCCATAAGATCGGATTTCTCCTATTTCATAATGCTCATGGGACAAGTCGAGGGATTATCGCCCCATTCCGGCCTCCATTTTGACCTAAGAGTAAGACTGGTAGATAAGACCGGCTAGGGATGGGGGAAATGGGGCATTAGATAGTAAGGCTACATGATGGCGAGAGTTCACCCAGAGAGCACGCTACACGTTCTATTTTCAGCCGCTATGTACTCGCCAAGAGGTTAGAGCTGTCTCCCCACCTCACATACTTTTGTTGGTGTTTTTTTTTACATCTCCTAAGTTGAAGCAGGAAACACCCTAAAACACACAGCGGAGATCTAAGACTTTTGGAGAGGGGGGGGGGGGCTTTAACACTCGGGAGTCTTCGCTTTTTCCTTCTGGAAATGTCATTATTTAGAATTTATCTTTGGAAGATTAAAAAAGAAGTGAAGAAATACTAGGCTTTAAAAAAAAGCAGAATGGAACTGAGATAGGAGGGCAATGCCAAAAAGGGGGCGGGGGTGTCTACTACGTATATAAGCTTGGAGTTTTCAAGCGAAGGAAGTTAACTGTAAGTAGATGCAGCCGGCATGCCACATGTATAATTCCTCCACAGCTTCTTACCCCCATCACCACCACCATCCTCCACCGCCACGGTGCCCACTCTTGGTTTTTCATGGCTCTGAGATGAGTGGCAAAGATTTTCTGTGAGGCCCGGATTGGTCCAAGATATGCCTACCTGGTCTGCGATTGGTGGAAGGTGCCAGGAGCCCCCTAGGAGCACGCCAGAGCTGGTAGTCTCAAATAGGTAAAACTATCCGAACCAGCCCCGGCTCCTTGAGACACGCAGAGGCACGCTACAGTGGCCTGCTTTTTTTTTTTTAAAACTTTACGGCGTTTTTTTTTTCTTTTCCATCTGGGTTCTTCGACGCTGATCTCAGTGCTTCGCTGGCGATGCTTCAACGACATGGTCTACAGCAGGCAGTGCTGAGGTCCTGCAACTTCATATACATCTTTTTTTTTTCACTTATGGAATGAATCAACGCACTCGTTTTGGAATATAAGGATTTTTACAACTATGCTTTCATCTATCTTTCAATACGACGCTACTGTTCTGATGAATTAAGGAAGACATCTGTACAAAATGAGGGGGAGAACACTGTCTCAAGATCCAGAATGGAATTTCGACTGATGCGACAAACAGACAATAAACATTGTTAAGAGAGGTTCAAACTTAACACAGACCAGTACAGCTCTGCTGCGTGAACTCTACTAACAGATTTCTACACTGTTCAAGATGGATGCGACCAGTTGACAGGCACAAAGGAAGACAAAACGACAGACTAGGAGAGAGACCGTTAGCGCATGTAACATACTTCTTTGCTATCCCATATTACAATCAAGCTATGGAATGTAAAGAAGTATGTATCATACGTTAGCATTCTACAACCATTACAGCCAAGGATTTTCTAGTTAAGATTCTTTTTTTTTTTTTGGGTCAATGTAAGTTAATTTTCCTGTGGACTAAAACCCATGGAAAAGTAAATCAAACTTAAAATGGATTTGTCGCTTTCAAACTTAGAAGCTGATACCAATTACACATCTCTTCTCAATACAACAGTTTGTTGTAGTTGTTTTTTTTTTTTAATTTAATTATCTGTGATCCAAAATGGATTCGCTTACGGCATTGACTGTAGTTAATTTTTACATCAAGATGTATATTTTTTGTTTTTATATGTATTAGTGTACTTAAAAAAAAATTCTTTTAGGACAATTGATTGGTTATTAGTTGTTTTTTTCAATTAACTGTTACCCTCGAAGTAGGAAATAGTTTTGTTCCTTGATGGTTATTGTGTAATGATTTGATCACAAATGTTCATTCGGACAATGTGATGGATTGCACTGTGTTATAGATAATGAATGTATAGAAACCTCAGAAAAAAAAAGATATATAACTAGAAATGCCTAAAGTATGATTTTACCATATTCTATTCTACTCTAACTTTGAAAATTTGAATCTCTTCATGAAAGTTTTCATTATTTGGAAGAAGAGTTTGCTATGACTATTAGATAAGTGAATTATTCGATAATTAGTTAATCTCGTTTAGATTTCTCAAAGTTATGAAGCACAAATGTCAACTGCAGAAACTTATTGGAAAATGTCAATCTAAACATGGAGCTACTGAATGACTTTGAAACCAATGCCCTTGTTTGGTGTTGTGAGTTTCCTAATAAATCACAAGTTAACGATGTTTTTTTTTTTTTTTTTTTCGTAGTTGTTGTTTGTTGCTCTTCTTTTCTCACATGTCCGTAAGCGCTACTGTGCCCATAGATCACGTGACCATAGAGCGGCAGGGCGAGCGGGGTGTGTAAGGAAATGACGTAACATTCCCACACCTCGCGTCTGCCTCGTGTGGTTTGCATAAACTTCTCAGAGGCGTAGCCAGCAAAACATGTACTTCCTCACAAATTTATTGTTGTCTAAATGTCTTTTTCAATGTTTGTTTGTATCTTTTGCTCACAGCTTCCAAAACTGAATTCTACACCCCACTTGTAGTCCTACAAATAAGACTAAGACTGTTTTATTGATCCTTGTTAGAAATTTGTTGCGTTGACTATAGCTATTGAAGTTGCATTCTCTCTATATTAATGTCCGCGTGATCAGTAGTGGCAACTGTGAAGAAAACAATTTTCAAACATGTATCTGTAGATATGACGGTAACGTTTTGAATGGCTCTCGTTGTATTGTGACTATTTCATTATGGTGTTGACTTAGCCATCCCTGTTTCGTTCATTTCTCCTTATAACTTTGTTCCATAGCCAATAGACTTAAATGTAGGCGGTAAAGAAATGTCAGGCCCCCGCTTAGATAGCGGAGAAGTCCTCCTAAAAACGTACAAAAAGGCACTACGTCTCTCTTTGACCTCGGTCCCATCACATAGTGCAATTCTAGGACCAAAACTTAGCACTAGTTCATCAGTTAGATGAATAACAAAAAGTATATGATTCAATGTATTACAATTCCAATGTGAATTTTCGAAGCTCACTTGAAATTATCTCTATTATTTCCTAAGTAATAACCCACAAGTATTCAGCTTCCCAGTCTTCTCTTTCTCTGTATGTGGACTAAACAATGTATTTAGCAGTACTAGCATGCATCAAATGATTTCGTTTGTCTAAAGGTAAAGTTTGTTGGTATAATAATGAAGAGCTAGCTGAAAGAAAAGACTTGTGTCCAATCCTGCCACAAATAACGCGAAGAGAATGCAGACACTGTTTAACAAATACTAGATTTACATAGACATTTTGTAGTCGCTAGTTTTTAAAGATATTTAAAAATTAATTCTATGTTTTAATTTCTTTGTGTTACCAGATATATGTCTGTATATCTGTTAATTCATGTCTATTAAATTCACTGTATTAAGTATGCTTCTGTGCGAGTGTAATTACCATGCGAGTGTTTAGTAGAAATCTATGAATAGAACATGTTTCAACATCATAGAGATGTAGATGCTATTAAAATGGCTCAATGTGTACAGATTTATTGAAATACAGCGTTGTCTTGAATTCTACGTCACGTGTGTCTGCATGGCCTGAGTGCTAGCAGCATGTGCGAAGATAATGAAATACAACGGTCTGGGGAGGGGGGGTGAGGCAATGGTTTATGGGGAGGTTGGGGTCGGAAGAGTATGGAATTAGACTTCTGGAGGATGCAAGCGGCGAGAGAAGGGATAGAAAGAGAGTGCTTGGGATTTTCGGGAGGTGGGCGGGATGTGTTGGTGTGTGTGTGTGAGGGTCCGGGGGGGGGGGGGAGATAGCGGGATTCTTTATTTGCAAACTCAGGAGGGAGGAAGACTCAAGATAAGGAAGACACTAAAAAGGCACAATGTGAAGAGGAGCTAATTGAAGACCGTGAGTGCGTCCTTAAAATAAGAGAGAGAGAGAGAGTTAATAAATACCTAAAGCGTTAAAATACATTTGTATTTTAAGTTAGTAATGTCATTTTTGTTTAGTGTTACGCCCTCTATTGAATGAAGAGAAATATGAAATGTATTTCCAAGTAATAGTTACTTTTAGAACAACTGATTTAAATATGATGACATTGTTTCCCTTCAGGCAGGTCGGGACTGTAGTCTGCAATGAATGTTAAATAAAGCTGGTTGACAACAGTTCAATCGAGGAGAAGGATTAATTAAAATCCTAACTTAAAAAGTTAACAGATCTATGGATAATATAAATAAACCGAGCAGCAGAACAAGTCATTTGTTAATGACAGAAAATAGGCAAAGATTGGCCATGTTTACATGTTATAACTACAAAGCTATAGAAAAGAACATTAATAAAAGAGAACGACTTCTGCTACACGACCTACTATCTGTTCTAGGTCAATATTGAGGTACCCTCGTGCTGAGCCAGTCGCCTCATAGACACGCACCTAGGCCCAAACATACATTATAGCATGGAACTACTAAGACTATTTGTTTTATGTTACGTGTGATTATATCCACTAGACCGGGACAAAATAAATGCATCTATTTGAATAGAAATGTGAAATGATTTTTAAAAAAAAGATTTTTAAAACACTAAAAATAAAAAAAAATATTTTTTATGGGAAAGAGCTACACATTTACAGCCATACATCAACACTGTAAGATTTATTTCCCATTTTCGATATCAAACAAAATTAATTACTTACCACTATTACGTAGTTAATTGGTTAATTAATTTTTTAATTGATTCATGTTTTGTTAGGAACAATGAATAACAGTGCAAAGTTTCGAACTGATTCGAGAATGCAAGTGGGAGAGCTAACGTGTCCAAAATTAGACAGACTTGATAGAAGCTTTACAAATAAAAAAGACGTTCTTAATTGTTTTTGAAGACACAAGATTGAAGCATTGTGTGTCAAGTTCAAACAATGAAATGATAAGATATACCAGAACAGTTGTTGATCTCTCTATTTGTTCCTAACCAATCCAATCAGTTGTCCATTGGGTTTCTACTTCATCTTAACTCATCGGTACTGGCACCTCCACGAGAGTAGACGTTTACTTTTGAACACACAATAGTAGGACATTGGATTGACTTTCAGTGGTCAAAATGAAATCTCTAGGGCATGTCGGTTATCTTTTAGTTCATTGATAATAGAAGGATGAAGGAGATTTTTTTTTGGTGTAGAAATGTTAATAAGTATTCCATGAAATCTTCCAAATAGATCAATGCTTCACTAGACTTTAGGTTTCATACCAATTGAATAGCTTTCTAATAATGAAGGCCTTTCTGTTGAATAGTGCATGTTTTATTTATCTCCACCAGCACTGGCGGATCCGGGGGGGGGGGGGGGCAGTAAGGGCGATCGCCGAACGAACGGGCGGACGAATTTTAGATTAGAATTCAGACAATTTGTATACGAATTTATTACTTTGTTAATAATATATACTAATTATTTATATTTTTAACATATTTTTAGATTATTTCGCCCCCCCCCCTCTAGTATGTTGGCCGATTTGGTGGGGTCGGGAGGGGGCGATGACATCAATCCGCCCCCCCCCCCCACAATAAACTTTTGAGTTAGGGGGGAAGGTCCAATTTATTTGTAGAAATCACAGCTTGCTAACAGAATCAATTAAATATCTATATGATTAAAACTTGTTATTAATATTTTAACCGATCTTTATATTATGTCGTTCCCCTGTTGACCGATTTGAAGGGGGGGGGGGGGGCGAATACCTCTACTGCCCTTCCCACCTAAACCCTTTGAGTGGGGGGCGGTCCTACTTTTATGGACAAATCATAGTTTGTGAACAAAATTATTTGAATTAATATATAAATTTTATATTATGTCGCTCCCCTTCTGGTATTTTGGCCGATTCGGTGGGGTAGGGGGGTATGCGATTGCCTGTACTGCCCTCCCCACTCTAGCCCTCTTAGTGGGGGGGGGGTGGTCCTATTTTTATTGAGAAGTCATAGTTTGTGAACACAATTAGTTTCATATCTATATAATATAAACTACGTATTGATATGTGAATCCATTATATATTATGTCGCACCACACTCTAATCTCAAATTTTATGATTATTAAATATAAAATGAAAAAGGGTTGCACCAGGTGGGAGGGGCAATACATGCAATAGCCTTCCCTCCCATCAAACCAATACTTTTTTTCTTTTTGTATTATAGTTAAGAAATTACTAAATAAAAAAAAATCAGTCACTGATATAATTTATATATGCTATAAATTAAATTCTTATATCGAGTCGCCCCACCATTATTCTTTAATGCCAAATGCAATCTTTAGCAGAAATTATAAAAAGGAGCGAGGATTAATCGTTTTCACTCCATCGCCCCTCCCCTTTCCAGACAGAATTTATGTACTTTCATATGAATTTATCATAATTATTTTAAGAAAGAATTCAAACGAAATTTTTCAGTACAA